CTGGGCATCCCACTGGAAATGAAGCCACTCTAAGATGAGCGTTGAGAGGCCATGGTCTCCTCGCTGGTGAACCTGAGAGTTCTGCGCATGGATGATGGACAGCACTCATCCCTACCCTTTTCCACCGGCATCACAGCTTGGAAATTGCCATCCAGCTTCTCCATCACTTCCCTGCCTCAAGTTTTGCTCTTCCCATAGGACAGTTTGCTCCCGGCATCCCAAACTCAAGAAGTTTTGCGTCCTCGAGTCAGAGAAGCAGTAAGATTGTGCACCATCAGGAGAGAGAGAAAGAGAGAGAGAAAGAGAGAGAACTGCTCACCCCCTGGCACCTCCTCTGTCATACTGTCTTGGTCAGCCATCCCCCATGTCAGTTGCTACATCACATCAAGCACCATGATGATTTGGGCTGCAGGTCAGTCTGCTTGGAGGAGAAGAAGCAGAGGTGTGAGGGGGTGGGAGGAGGAGAAGAGGTGCTTTCCTGTGCCCATAGATTCCCTCACCAGGGAAGGGCGAAGTGATGAAACACTACACAAAAATTGAGCTGAAATATCATCTGCTGGTGGGTCTGTGAAGGATTCTAGCATAACTCCGACTTCCCAGATCCTCTTCTTTCATCAGGACTTTCTTCTGCTCCCCCAAATTCCTTCCAGATGTGTAGCTTCTACTCAGCCTGGAGACCACATGGCTTTTGATGGTGGCTTTGTCCATGCTGTGGGCTTGGACATTCAGAACAGGGTTGCTCAGACAGGTGGCTGGGGGCATGGTCTGGATGCACCTGGAACTAAGAAGAGCTGGTGGGGCTTGGATGTTCTTTGACCAAAAGGGGGTCAAGCAGCAGTGCACGAGCGATCTGCCCAAGTGGTGAACAGTCAGTGGTGTGAGAAAGATGTGCAGACAAAGACTAACTCTTGACACAATGCATGTCACCAATGAGATCTCCATGAATGGCACGTTCACATGCACTCGGGGTTAGCATGGGGCGACACAACTTCACCGGTGAAGAAAGCGGGTACGGGGGAGGAGGAGGAGGAGGAGAGGGCGCATCACTGAGCCACGAGTGTGGGGCTGCAAACAAACAGAAATGAACACGACTGCCAGGATACAGGTGTCGGCCGGCCGGAGCATCCCACGTTGCCCTTCCCAGCCGTTCAGAGACAGGCGTTTGCTTCGTTTTCCATCTGACCAGGCACATGCTCCAAGCAACATGCTACAATCATGCATGGAGTCCATGTGGCTCGGGGTGGCTGCACTTCCCCTGCCCAGGTCCTTTCAGAAAGACTTGCCTTCACCCCTCCTCTCGGTCATCCGAAAAGGGTTAGAAATCTGCTAGCAATTATGGGGCCATATATGAAATCTAAGTTTTTGTTCCTCTGCTTTGACATTACCAGACATCTCATGTAACTCTTGTAATATGTACAAACCAGTAGAAGAAATACAATTTTTTTGCATTTTGTTCATATCTTTTTATAACACTAAATGTTAAAATCTCCATCAATCAAACACAATTACACTGACAAGCTCAAGGAACTGGTGTCCCATTCCAAACACCCTCCTTCCCTGGTCCCCAACCAGCTGAGAGGCAGCAGGAAGCAAGAACACAGATTGTTTGGGAGGTGATGGGAAAGATAGCAATGCAAACAGGGAAAAGAGATGATTAGGAGAAAGAGTTTCAGAGAGTAGGGCCTGAGACATGAGAAAAGCCATTGCAACATCTCCATCAGGGGATGGAGGGGAGAAAGAATGGGAAAAAGCATTAGACTTTGCCTGTGTTTCCTATATTCATCTGGGCTCACCTCTCAACAAGTGCTTTGAGCAGTTCCTCAAAGTTCAGGAGAGCTTGAGTTCAGGAGAAACAGAGGGATTTTTACGGCATCCTGCAGCCCACAGGATTAGATTCTTGAGAAAAGCAAGCTCCAACCTACCCACAATTTCCCTAGGAACAGGGAGTTGCCAGGAGTAGGGTTCCCAGCAATTCTGCAGACAACAGGCATACTTGGTGTTGGAGGCTTTTCTCAGAGAGGTCTGCAATTAACTGGCTTTCACCCTGTTTCACAGCCATGCAACAGAGGCAAAGGTCTGCCCAGGGCCTGCAGAAGAGACCAGATCCCAGCACTGGGGCTGAGGCCATTTCCCCCACTACTGGGCAGATGACTTAAAAAAATTGATTCCCTGCTTTTAGTGAGATGTCTCCCTTTTAACCATATGCCTTGACATCTAAAAAAACATCCCCTCAAAACTCCTTTGAACCAAAACAAACATGAGATAATGAGGAGCTGGGACTCAATGACTGCCACCACACCACAGGGTCTGATGTGTGTGACCCCAGTGCCTAGGAGTGACCCCACGGTGACAAAAACACATGCAGAGAGCACATGGCACAGGTGCTACCATAGCAACCGGGCTGACATCAAAGAACCTAAAGTGGGCTTGACTCAGCCCTTAGGAGCAGCCTGTCACAGCAAGACATTGCAGGCTGCCCACGTTTTTCAACAAATAAATCCTGTGGCAATAAATCCAGGCATAGGTACAGCCCCAAGAAAGAGCAGTGTGTGCTTTCCCTCGTGCCAGTGTGCAGGAAAGGGTGCAGCTCCCAGCCTGGCTTCTGGGGCCAGGATCAGCTCACGGCTGTACCAGGGAAAGAGGAAGCCTGCTGCAGTAGAAAATCTGGACGTGTTGCTAAGACTCTGAATTAGATGGCCCTCCCGAAAGTTAGGCACGAGGACTGGGACGTCTGAATGCTCTGAAGGATGCAGGGCATATTGTTTTGTCGGCTGACACCCATCAGTCTCCAAAAGAAATGCCCAAGTCCCATCAATGACTGACAATTTTGGAGGAAGGGAGCCATCCCTGGATGCCTTGGGTGGATTTCAAGCACCAGTTGCCCACTTGCGACTTGCACCCTTTTGCAGGTATGGCTTTGGGGTCTGGAGGAACATAAATTACCACCATCCAATCCCACAGCAGCTCTTGCAATGGCCAAATCAGCCTCTCATGTGTCTCTTTAATAAATCTCCTTGCACTTCTGCCTGCCTGGGAGCAGCCCCTGACTGCCTGCTTGATTGCGTTCCTGCTGCTGCTCCGGAGAGCTGAGCTCAGCAGCGCCGGCCGTGCCGCAGTGCAAGGCACTGCCTCGCCGGACTGTGCCCGCCCAGCGAAGGTGGGGACGGCTCGCAGCAGCAATTCCCATTTCCCTCCTGTCAGGGGACAGCTGGGGGCATCCCCTCCCGCACACTGCAAGGCCGAGCTGTTTCCCCCTTGCCTGCCTGCAAGCACAGCTGCCAAGCGTGCTGCCACTGGGCAAAGGCAGAGGAGCAAACTGGCTGCTGCTTGAGAGCCGAGGGGCTGAGCACCTGTAAAACACTCTGCTGTCCTGGGATGGTCACTCGACTTCACTGGGATAAATCAAGCTCGCCCCTGCAAATCCCTCTCTCCAAAAGAGGCCTACCCAATAAACCCTGTGCTTTATCATCTTTGCTGCTGGTGGATACTATGGCTCGTGATGGGCCAGGGGACACAGGAATCTTCTCCCCGCTCCCCCCACCCGCACACAGGCACTGCAGCCCCTGCTCACTCTGGCTCTTGCAGGAGACATTGTGCTGGTGTGGCAAATTCCAGCCACTGCCCACCATTTTCTCAGTCCTGTTTCTCACAGCTTTTTCTGGCTTCCTCACCTGGGAACCACTAAAGCCTCTCTTCTTGGCACCTCTGTATGTGATTCTGCCACAGGAGAAGTGTGGGGCACTCTCCAGCAAAACCAGCACCCTTGAGATAAGACAGGAGCAGGGGAAATTGTACTGCCCACTTCTTCGCTGCATCATTTTAAGCTCCTTCTTTGTAAGCCCAGGATTTTGGACCTGACATTTGTTTTATTTCTTACATTCACAGGTCCGGGACATTTTCTGATCCAATTTCTTTCAAATGTGGAATTTGCAGTGTGTTTTGTAATAGCAGTGTATACAGCACACACACACGCACACACACACTCCCCCTTACACAGCCTACATTTCCTTTTATACTGGGGAGGACAGTAAGAACAAAAACAACAAAGCAACAAAAAAGGGTATTGGCTCTATTTTTGCATGTCTACCAAAATGGTTAGGAATGACCAGATTGTGGTTTTCGTGTTGAGGTATTGTTCCTATGCACACTGTATCTAAAAGGAATGGCTGCTTGGTGATGTCCAAGGTCTCATCACTCACATCCCACCGGCCCAGCCTCCCATCCCCAGGAGAAATGGTGACTGCACTCTTCAGTCCATAGTGTTGTAGGCCAGTCCTGGTTTCTTCTGCTTGCTTGGACAATTGCACATGAGTGCACACCCCCATGCACGTGTGCAAGCACTGATGCATACCAAGAGCTGCTATGCTGGTACTTGAAGGCTGAGAGCCAAACAGGGTTGGAAGTAGGAGAGGAAAAAAAGCCTAGACAACGGTGCAGACTGACTCTTGCAAGCAAGGTGGCCAGAAAACAAAAAGCCAGTGAGGACACAGGAGAGGGGACACAATGTGAACCTGTTTTGCAGCTGCCCCTCTCTCCTCACCCCTCTTCTCTGCCTAAGTGATCTCTCTGCATCTTGTCTCACACTTACAAAGCAGGACATTATCTACAATAGGATAAGCATATGTACACATGGGCTGTTCGTTTTGCATGCTTAGAGAGAGCAAGAGAAAGAGAGAAAGAGGGAAGACGGAGCAAGAGCCACACATGCATGCACGCACGCACACAGGCATACACAGGAGAAAGAGAAAGACATCTGGTTGAATTAGGGGGGGAAGGAAGAGGATTTTAGAAGAAAAAAAAAGAAGTAGGCTTTCAGTAGAGTTGACACAGCTTTAGATTAGGCCTGTGGGGTGATGTTGCATGAAGGAGGGGACAGGAAATAAGGTGTTTAGCAAGGACTGGGTGCACATGAGCGCAGGGTGAAGTGAAGAGAGGAAGGGGTTCTTCACAGGACACCAGTGTGCAGAGAGCTTTAGGTGACTTGCTCTGGTTTGTGGCTGTTATTTTTTTTCTTTTATCTTTTTTTTTTTTTTTTAGATTTGTTTTTAAAAGTATGAACTGGCTGAGCATTAGCTCACAAAAATGACCCAGGGCATCCAAAAAGTTAAATGGCTATAGACACCGAAGCAAAGACCTCTTTCTGCAAAAGAAAGAAAGAGGAGGAAGGAAGGAAAGTGAGGGAGTATGGAAAAGAGGAAGGAGGAGAGAAAAGAAAAGGGATCTTCTTTTTGATTGGCTTTGCAGGTTTTGTTGGATTGTTTACATTGCAGCATCCTCTGGCGACACGATCCTTGCTGGTGCCCATTCTCTCCCTTGTTTCGTGTTGCCTCCTAGGCAGTCGATGACTTGACAGCCGGCTTTTCAGGTTTTGGATTAAATGTTGCTGAGTCTTCTTTGCTGTAATTTTTCCTCTCCCCCCTCTTCGCTCCTGAACACACAAAAGTTGTGAAAGAAACAGTCGTCTCTCTCTCTCCCCCCCTCTTTTTTCTCTCTCCCCTCTCTTCGCTCTGTCTCCTGTATAACGCATTTTGTTTTGTGTGTCGTTGTTGTTGTTGTCGTGTTGTTTTTTTAATTATTATTAATATTATTATCTTAATTCTGATTTGTATTAACATTTGCTGAGTAGGCAGAGCAGGGATGCTGCCAGAAGCCACAGTGGGACGGCCAAACTCATGGAGCCGTTGTCTACTCTCCCTGTGCCGGGTCCTGCAGGGTGCGAGAAGGGAGAGAAAAGAAGACAAGGTTACAGGAGGCTGAGTGAGATGGGTGTGACACAGGAGCGCAGTGCTTCAGCCCCAGGCTTTTCCTGCAGCGCTGGGTTTGGGCTGCAGGGCACAGCCTCCTTCCCACCTTGGTGAGCTTCCCTCCAGCCCAGCTACAGGCTTCTGCCTGCCAGCTCACCCGCATCCTCCTTCCCGCAGCTCAACATTCCAATGGCTTGTGGCTCTCCCTAAACACCCCCGACGCTGGAGGAACAGGGCCTGAAGCAAGTGGGAAGGCTCAGCCCTGGCTGCTGACCACATCCCAGCCCTTGCTGTGCCTCCAGCTGGGAGCTGCTGGCCTTTCAGTGCAAAGATATGGTTCATCCCTTTGCAGATGCAGCCCCTGGTCACCACCCCCACACCTGCCTGCTCTACCGCCTTCCCAGTGGTGGCCCTGAGATGCCAGGACTCCTTATAATTGTGCACAGTGGCCAGTACCTGTCTGCAGGCAGACATCAGCTCCACAGGAGCTGATTCATCACCGTGGTGCGATCAATAAAACATGGGCCCAAGCAGCAGACACCTCCCCTCCCTCCCTCCCAGGGCTGCACCGTAATGAATTGTCTCTGAATCAGGGTGGAGGAAGGCTTGGCTGTGGCACTCACAGCCCTGTGGCACGACACCTCTGGGGTGACGGTGCAGGGTATGCCAGGGAGGTTGATTTTTCATGAGGGTGGGAAGTGAAGTTGCACGTGTGCGCTGCGCATCCGCAGGCTCTGCCAGAGGGGGCAGGGAGGAGTGCGCTGCTGCAGCAACAAATAATGCAGCCTCGCTCCGGGAGCGTTAAATGCTAACACTCCTGACATCTTCTCATTCATCCTCTCATTTATGGGTTCCCTTTTCTGGATGGCTTTAATGGCAGTGATGCTGTTTTAAATTCACCCTGCAATCCCAAGCCTTGGCAGCCTTTTCTTTATAGCTGGTCAGGGAGGTGCACGTGACTGTGGGTCTGTAAATGCAGGCTCACCCTGTGCATGTGCACACAAATGCTCATGTATGTATGCATGCACACACATGTATGTGTGCATTTATACATATATGTGCCTGTAAGATGCTGGGGTGTGGAGATGGAGATGAGGTTTTGTGTTAGAACCGATCCTGCTGTGGAAAAAAGAAATGATGCTTACTACCAAGAAAGGCTGTGATGGCAGAGGAGAGCAAAAAACAAAAAAAATTTTAAAAAGGCCCTGTTCAGGAGAGCTCCATAAGACTGAAGTACAACTGCTCCCTCACAACCTGCAGAGATGAAGAGCCCTGCTCTCCTGGGTGGAGCACAGGTGCCACAGGCTTGCTCAGCAGCACAGTCACTCTTAAACACAAGCTAGTGACTAAAAGGCAGCAAATCCAAGAGAGATGTCTCCAGTATCCCTCAAATTCCATTGCACTTTCATTTGCCTGATTTCTTCCTAAGGTAGCTGACTAGAGTAGCTTTTGTGCCCCAGTTCTATTCTTTTATTATTAACTAATTATGTGATGATTTGTGTGGAAAATTTATGTTCTATCTATGGCTTCTTTTTTTCATCTAGTCCACATGCAACTTTTGTGGCTTGTCACACAAATCCTACAGCATTGGTTTTTTAACTTGTTTTATTTCCTCCCCTAAACTCAGGAACACATTTCAGTTCAGCTACTACTCCTACCTCACCTATGTTTCAGAAAAAGCATCTCTCACAGTCAAATAATGGTGTGGAGACTGTTTGGGAGCTTTTGCATCCCTTTTTGGCACAAAACATGACTCCTCTGGCCCAGTAAAAAATCAAGAGTACAGCACACCAGGCAGGGTGTATGGCCCACAAAAAATTTCAGCCACCACATTTTTACTATCTGGCTTAAATACTATTTGTCTTAAAACATACTTGGACATGTACATAACATACTTGTGACAACCATTCCTCCTCTTTGTCACTTTCATAGGGTGTCCTTGCAACCAGAGCAAGGGCATTTGCACCAGTGGTGGCAAGCACTGCACACCCAGCATAGCAGAGGCAAGGGGACACTTGCCTTTGGCTGAGTACTGCTGCCTTAATGCACCTAAATGCACGGATCAGAGTTTGTGAGCTTGGTGGGGACTGGGGGCAGAGGCATGGCATGGTGTGGTGAAGAGATGAGCCTGTGCAATGTCTAGGTGTAAGAGAGGACACACAAAGATATGTGGTGTGATGGAGAACTTGGGAGAGGGTCACACCAGCTTCTGTTCTGCTTGAGCTTGTGTGCCTAAGTTTGAGGGCATTTGAAAAGCCAAAGCTCCCATCTCCAGAGATGAAAAATTATACATGTTCTCATGGCTCCCTGTGTGTCCCAATCAGATGGCTGCAGAAACCTCTCCATGTGCAGAACTGATCCACTCCTGTGCCACACCACAGGCTACACCAGCAGCTGTTCTCACGAGCAGGTATCAGGCACTGTGTTAGACTGACTGGGAGCACTGGGATCCAGTGTGGCCCCTGCACACAACCCTGGGGGCCACATGGAATCCCTGGGTTTTACAGCACATCTAGCTAGTGTACACGCCGTGGGTGCTACATTTACTGTCACAAATACTGTAAAAATGTGGGAAGCTTATAATTCTATCACAAAATAATGTTTTGGGGGACAACAGCTGCTCATGTGTAATAAGAAAATGAGTGAAAGTGCTGGAAAGTAAAATGCTTATCTTTGAGCGAGATTTTCTGCAGGAAATAGCATCTGGTTCCAATTCATTCTATCACTGTCACCTTCCCTTCCCAGGCACACCTCAGGCTGTGCCAGCCCATGTTTGCATGATGACTTCTCCATGTGTGTGCAGGAGCAGCTGCTGCTGCGGGCTGTGCGTGCCCCTGCCCACTCACACGGCCTTGGGTGAGCCCCACCCTGGGGGACCATGCCAGCCCCACGCTGGGGGACAGTGCCAGCCCCACGCTGGGGGGGCAGTGCCAGTTCCACGCTGGGGAACAGTGCCAGCCCCACGCTGGGGGACAGTGCCAGTTCCACGCTGGGGGACAGTGCCAGCCCCACGCTGGGGGGGCAGTGCCAGCCCCACGGCGGCCACGGGGTGCTGCAGAGCCCGCACACCTGAGCGCAGCCCCCACCCGCACACCGCCCTCCGCAGCGCGCCCACCCCGCGGCACACGCGGACGGACACAGCTCCCCAGGCGTGCACAGCCACACCGCAGCCCCCACACAGAGCACACAGACCCCCACTATCCCCCATCCCTGCAGCCCCCAGCGCACAGGCCCCTCGCAAACCCCCCGCGCTGTAGCTCCCTCGCCATCCCCACACATCCCCTCGGCGTCGCGGTTCCACAACCCCCATGTCACATCCCCTACACATCCGGGTCCCGTAGCCCCCATGTCACATCCTCTCGCCATCCCGGTCCCGCAGGCCCCATGTCACATCCCCTCGCTATCCCCACATCACATCTCCTCGCCATCTCGGTCCTATAGCCCCCGTGTCACATCCCCTCTCCATCCCCATGTCACACCCTCTCTCCATCCCGGTCCCGTAGCCCCCATGTCACACATGTCACATCCCCTCTCCATCCCCATGTCACACCCCCTGTCCATCCCCATGTCACACCCTCTCTCCATCCCGATGTCGCACCCCCTCGCCATCCCCATGTCCCACCCCCTCTCCATGCCCATGTTACACACCCTCTCCATCCCCATGTCACACTTGTCACACCCCTCTCCATGCCCATGTCACACCCCCTGTCTATCCCGATGTCACACCCCCTCCCCACGCCGATGTCCCACCCCCTCTCCATGCCCATGTCACACCCCCTCTCTATCCCGATGTCACACCCCCTCCCCACGCCGATGTCCCACCCCCTCTCCATGCCCATGTCACACCCCCTGTCTATCCCGATGTCACACCCCCTCCCCACGCCGATGTCCCACCCCTCGCCACCCCGGCCCCGCAGCAGCCGGGGCCAGTCCCCGGTCTCTGGCGCCCTCTGGCGGCCGCCGCGCGGAGCCGCCCCCGCCGCCGGGGACCCGCAGAAAGCCCCGCCTTGAAGGAGCCCCGGCTGCCCAGCCCTGCTCCCTGTCCGCTGGCACCGGGATGGCGAGGGGCTGTGCCTGCGGTCTCCCGCTTCGGCAACCTTGAGCCTGTGCTCTGCGAATTTGCTATAATATCCCGGGCTATTCATCCTCCCACCCTGCCCCGGCAATTGGGCAGCACTGTCATGTCCATGACCATGCAACAGCTCTGAATGAAGAAGGGGAAATTGGATTTCTGATGCTGATAAGCTAATATGAATATCTGGCAGAATTTCACAGCTAAACCCCTAAGGGACCCCAGACCCTAAATGCTGACCGAGTCTGATCCCATTAAGCAAATCAAGAAGGAGCAGACTGAAAGCTGTCAAGGGCAGAACAACTGCACTGCTCTTCCTTTCTCCAAAAGTGAGACATTTGGATACCTGGTGCAGAGGCAGCTGGAGCCCTGCCATGGTGCCCAACTGTGCTGCAACACAAGTGCATGGGACACTGCATCCTGTGTTTCCAAGGCTTTATTGGTGCCACACATTCAGCCTGGGTGATTTGCATTGGTGCCATGGCACAAGGTAGCCTTGGCCAAGCTTTAGAGAGCTGTAGTTCTCACATGGCTGAAGGGGACCATGTGCAGCCTCCATCCCACCCCTCTCCCCAAGACAATGTAACCTTAGCTGCATCCTTAAATTTAACAATGGGAAAAACAGCCATGCCATGGTGGCCTCACTGCTCCAGCCACACCTGCCTGTGTGCAACAGCCCAGAACAACAGCCTGGCACAGAGAGGCTCCAGGCGATCCCCCTAGTGCTTCTGGGAGAACTTCCACATACTTCTGAGTGAAGATGCAGAAGGGGTGGCGAGACCCTTCAATTTGGGACATCAGTAATTTCACCTAGAGCCTAACACTCCTGCATTCCATGCAGCATGGGGCAGAGGAGTTGCTGCATGCCCTCATGTGCAGGGGGCTGCAAG